CCGCCTACACAAACAAATTGTCGATAAAACTCCAAAATGGCATTTTCTTTTGACCCTATGTTTTCTTCCTCCTCTTCAGTGAGGCAAGACAAGAAAATTTCGGGGTAACATTTTAATCATATTTGTTGTGATGTTCATGAATAGTTCCGAATATTACCAAGATTTGAATCTTTGGACCGTAGGGGATGGAATCACAATTTGAGATCACAGACAGGTTTCTAATACATCATGGTACGGAATTATTTGGACTACAAGACCAAATCATATCCCGTGGCACTAGAAATAATATTCTATACGGCATTTCTTATTGCTTTTGCTGTCAAATCCATTGGAGCTATTAACATTTTAATCATATTTGCTGTGATGTTCATGAATAGTTCCGAATATTACCAAGATTTGAATCTTTGGACCGTAGGGGATGGAATCACAATTTGAGATCACAGACAGGTTTCTAATACATTCCAAAACAAGTGAGAACATGTTTCTCTAAGAGTGGAAAGTAATTTACCACATTGGCCACAAGATCAGACACATCAAACGAAGATGGAAAGTACAATAAATCCTGCACCAAGAGTTGAATCCGCGTCCGCCTATAAATTGGAAAAAAGGCTCAGAATGACAATCCTCAGAAACAGCCACAAAACCCCAAATCAAACCCTAGAAAATCGTGAGGGAGAAAGACCTATCTCTCCTCCACCGCGAAATCGCGACCCAAACCTCCACCTTCGAAGCTGCGAATCACCCCTTTTCGTCCATCACGAGCCGCCGTTACCACCCCTACAGTCGTCGGAACCCTTACACCTCCTTCGTCGTGAATCCATCATCAAAATATGCAAAACCATTAAGCAGTGAGATTTTTAACATTTAACATTTTGTTTTGTTGTTTGATTTGTGTAGTGATGAAGAAAACTGGTTAGAGGCAAGAAGAAGAAAGAAAGAAAGAAACGAGAAAGGAATAAGATGGAGGAAGAACGGAAGACGTAAGGGAGAGAGATGAGAACGACGGCGAGAACGAAGAAGGGGGAAACGACGATTTGGGAAGGGGGGGGCTTAGGTTTTTTCTGATTTTTGCCTTATGATGTAATCATGTATCTGCTCATCCACTCAATTATTGTACACCTCACAACACAGCCCTTCTGATCTCCAACGGATCAGATCAGACAGCTCACACTTGCGTTCCCACGGTAAGCCCTCGTAAAGCCCCCCACACCAGATCCGCCTTATTAAATTAGTTAACCACACAATTAAAACTCTAAATCAGCTTTAATTATTTTATTTTATTAACCCATTAATTTAATTAATCAACCTAATAATTAATCATTTCATCTAATCAGTTTTTTTTATTAAAACAACTAATAAAAACCAAATTTATTTAAATTTTACCCTTTTTACATTTAGTTTGTTTATTTTAAATAACTTTCTTTTAAATTAATTAACACGTATTTTAAATTATTCACTTTTTAATCAATTTAACAAACATTTTATAACATAATAAAAATGTACTTCATTTAATTTTAATATACCCCTTTTACTTAATAAGATCTCCATAATAAAAAATAAGGAAATTTCTTTTTAATAACCAATAACCAATTCATTTAATAATTAATTTATTAGAAACCTTTTTTTTAAGTAATCCAATTTCACTAAAAATTATTTTCTTAATTTAATTCAACTTTCTCACTAGAAAAGTAAAAAACCAATCTCACTATTAATAAATATAATACAACTTTTTCTCCTAAAAAATCAATTTCATATAAAATCAACTCAACATTCCCTTTAAAATCAATTCGTCTAATATTCTCATAAATAGCATTTTCCTAAACCAAGATCAAACTACAACATTTTTTCTCATAAAATCAATTCAATTAAAATTAATCAACACCATAATTTAACCCAATTGTGCACACTCACATTTACGACACATTCACTCTCACACACTTCAGCGCTTTTATGCGTTTGTGTATGGTTTACTTTATCTGCAACCTTTATTTACCCTAATTTAACATTACCATCATTTACATTTATCGCACTGCATCCCGTCCAAAGGAAAAACCTACACATAAGTCAACACTTGTGTGTAGTGCATATCATTCGCATCATAATCCCCTTTGATCCTTGATCCCATTCAAGTTGATCTCTAAGTTAGATCCTACCCCATAGGAAGGACTGCTCTTTATTTTACAACATAGAAACAAACAAACAAATACAAAACAAACAAATAATCAAACACAATAGAGAAATAGATGTTAATCATCTTAAGCGAGATCGAATCTCCACCCCACATCAATACAATCAATACCGTAGGAACTTTGCCTTAAGAGAGATAGAGGCGTACCTCGTCGATCCCTATCCGAGTACTTGAGCCCTTCTGTTAAGACGATGCAGAGACTATTTTCCTACAATTTGTGGCGGTTAAATCTCCCTGAAAATGATAACGCATCTGCTCTCCTAAAATCAATCAATCAACTACCCTAAATCCGTAGGAACTTTGACCACAGTCAAAGAACTCCTCATACCCTTTAGAGGAACTACAGATACTCTGATTCCACTCCTGTAAGGATATATAGGCATAAGATGCGACATCTTATCGAGTATACTTAGAAATAAACCCCTAGGTCTTTCAACCTTTAAGCAGATAAACACTTAGCAATAAACGATATAAAACAAGAGGTTCCTGTAGAGTACTACAGAAACATAGGATGCTAGCACCTTCCCTAAGTTTAACCAAATCCCGAACCTATAACTCTCTAAACCTTGCATTTGCATTGCATTGTGGGTATTTCGATCTTTATCCCTACCTTTGGACAAATCAAAGTTCGGTTGCAAAATGAATTAAAGATTCAAACTAATCAATAGTTTGGTATCCAAATTTCACCGCGACAGAAATGACGACTTCACTAGGGACCCTTAGTGGGTTTCCCTATCTCGTTTCTAATTGTTTATTGCTTTATATTTGTTATTTGTATAATTGTTTACTTGTTTGTTTCTTACTTTTGGATTGTTATCTTTGAGTGGTGAGAAAAGTCCTACACCCGGACTTGAGTGAACTTAAGATAGGATAGTGATATATTCAAAGAGGCTTATAGGGGGTGGAATCCCGACCAAGCTGACTTGAAAATCACGCTCAATTGAGGCCCTCTCAAAAGTTGTATTGTTGAACGAGTTCTTAATCATGAAAACATGCACTATATTCGATGTTGGAGCCTATTGTTGCGCCCTAATTTTTGACCATAAGATCCCACCTCCTTGTATTCATTTCTTGCTTGTCTTATTTTTACTTTTATAATTATGTTTACCATGACTAACTAACGTGTGCAGATGCAGTGATTTCAAATGAGGATAATATTCATTCTCATGGTTTAATTACTCCGAGACGTAGCCGGTTGGCCCTACTTCCAAGATCTACATAGTCATGGGGATTGGTCATTAGTTTTGTGGCAAGAGGAATTTTGAGTTTTGCAAATTTAAGATTTAAGTCCAAGCTACAATTTCGAAGATTGTTGCATCATTGCAAATCGAAGCCCATTTGGTGTCGTTCTATAAGAGTATTATGAGAATTATTTATATTCAGATTCAAAGGAGTCCGAACAAAATCCATCAAGTTAACGTCAGGCTACCTAGGCCAATCTTCATCAAGTTTTCGTTCAAGCTTCAAAAATTCAAGAATTATTAATCACCTTTATTGAACCATTTTTTTGTTTACTTTGGATAAAGTCCCCAACTACTCCTAAGGACGCGGTGGTTCTATGTCAAGAGGTTTGAATTCATATACGGAATAATTCTAATTCCCATATTTTGATCAAAGTAATGTTACCAATTCCCATGATCCTGAACTATCGCAAATGTCTATATGATTGGCCTGGCCTCCTGCATTTCTACGGTGTTAATTGATTTTCAACTACATTGAAAACTTCAAGTTCATCATGAATATTCAGCATCAAACCATTTCACGATTTATAAATCAAACCCCAATCAAGGTTATATTTTATTACAGAAGTGGAAGCCTATTACAAGCCAGGAAACGTTCAGGTTGCACTTCATATCACAAGGCATTTACAAGTTACATTCAAATGAGTTTTCTAAGTATCCCTCGTATACAACCTAAAGACCTTCTACAAGTTGTGTGCCTATCAACTATCCTTTTTGCAAGATCACATACGGGACGCTAGCCAATGCGAGCAATCACGGCGTCGCCTTCTCCTGCTCGAAACCAGAATTATAACAGCTTATATCCCTCCACATGAAATCATGAAGAGTTTGCGAAAGACAGACGGAGACGGCAACGCTGAAGGAAACACGGTTCCCAGCCCTTGGATTGAAAATCTAAAATCGGCAACATAAACTAGATAGCATACGATCATCCTTACCACCTGTCAGTAATTCAAGGGGGGGGCATCCAAATGCCGCTAGAGCACCTGCACACAATAGCGCAATATCAGAGAAATACTAAACGACCGGGATTGCCATTAACAAAAATCAAAGAGGTATCATGTAACTCTTGGACAGCACCTGCTTGACTTGCCCTGCGCACACATCCATTCATTGTTGCTGCATTGAGGAACATGAGAATCCCTTAAAAAACTTCACGAAAGCATTATATACGACGGTATTCGCATGGCAACAAAGTATTACACAGGCATATCAAACGTTCAAAAATATAACTCATCATCATCATTAATTATAAGCAATACTCATCAATGCAAGATATGGAATGTGTCAGTCACGTAATCACTAACAAAGACGACTCTCAAGTATATCAGCAATGCATTAACGCTATGTCACAGGAAGAGCTTTAAGTCGAGTTAACTAAGGGAACTTTTTGACATAACCCAAAGAAGATCAAGTTCAAGGACCTGTGAAAAATAAGGATTGAATGCCAAGTTGAGCCGGTGCTTAGCAGATGTATGTG